ACAATATAAGCGCCGAATTTGACGACCTGGTCGTACATGTCTTTCATTCCGCCCGAAAATCCTCTCCAATTCGCGAATATGAAGAGCGGCAGGTCTTCGCGCGCAAAGTCCTCGATGGCCTGCGCCGTCTTGTAGGCGGAGTCGGGGAACCACACCTGTCCCGCCTGTGACACCACTTTGGTCTCGGAGTCGAGATTCGCCGGATCCGCGGGTATTATCAGTTCTATAGTTCGCGTCTCGACGGCAATCACGCCGACGGGAATGCCGCCTAATCGCGCCCTCCCGGCCACCACTGTCAACGCCCATCCGCTGAGGATCTCCTGCCACGAGCCGCGGTCGAAGAAGCCGTCCTCCCACACGCCCTGCGGGTTCTCGCGGCCTTGAAGCAGCCATCGCGGGTCGTAGGGCGAGGAGGTGGGCGTGAAGACGACTTCGCGGTCGATCGGATCCAAGGACTCGATCATCGGGAGCGGAGCGCCGCGTTGGCACGGCATGTAAGAGAGCCACTTGAGAATCGTGGACACGCCCTCCAAGTCGTCCTGAGCCGTCGTGTGGGAGACGCCGTTCGCGTACATGATCTGAATGCCGCCTACGGAGGGAAAGAAGGGTTACAGAGGGACTGGTAGTGGAGGACAACGCAAACACAGACCCAACTGGTTGTTGGACGTGTAGACCTCGCGGCCGAGCAGTTTGTTGAGAGCGCCGGCGCCCGTGAGAATGATGTGCGAGTTGTCGATCTGAATGACGCGCTGCGAGAGTCGCGCCAAATAGGAGCCGATGCCGATGGCGCGACACGTGACCATCGTTATGGTCACGATCTCGTTGTAGGCCTGCGACGACTCGCCCGCAATCATTCCCGCGTACTTCAGGTTCTCGACGCCCAGACCCTCGCCCTGACCGATGATGTCGGTTATGCGGTATCGCGTCTCTCCGTCTTCCGTCACCAAAAGCTCCACTTTCACGGAGTCGGCGACGCGTTTGTATTGTTCGGGCGTTAAGTACAGGTATTTGAAGCCTTTGTCGGGATTCGTGTCGTCGAACCAACACACCTGGAAGTGTCCCTTCACCTCCTCGGCCAGTCCTATGCGCGCGCCCGAGTTGGCCGACAGGTAGATGCGCGGAACTCCCATAGCGCGCGCCCTCTCACTCGCCTTCTGGAACACCTGATCCTCTTTGGGGCCGAAGACACCCAACAGGTGAGTGATGTCGTTGCCGATGACGACAATGTCGCGGCCGTCGGGGTATTCGGGGGTGAAGAGGGTCATCCTCCACGCGCACATTCCGCAGTCGTTCTCCCCGTGAACGCGCTTCATCTCAATCATGCGCGACGGGTTCGTCGGGTCCAACACCAGTTCCATGCATTGCATCACTTGCGCCGGCATTTCGCACTCCGGCCGACACTCCAAGTACTCCTCCCAGTGCTTGACGAGCGCCGCCTGAAACATGTCGGGGAAGTCGTAGATATAAGTCGTGCCGTTGCTCTGCGCCTGGAAGCGCTTCAGTTGCAGATAGTCTTTGGTCATGTATGGCGTGGAGATCGTGAGGTCGTGCAGCGGACCCGGCTTCCCGGTGCCGGCCCACGCCTCGAACTTCATGGCGCCCGACACGGGGTCCAACACCTCCTTGTAGAGATGCATATCGAGGTAATAGCCCGACTCGTTGGCGAGAAGGAGGCGGAAGGGCGTGCACTTGGAGGTGGGCGTCGAGCGGATGATCATTCGGATCTCGGCCTGAAGAACGCGCAGTTTCCAGAGTCGGGGGCCGTAACGCATAACCATATTGCGCACGTTCTCCGCGATCTACGGGCGAGAAAGGGTTACAGTTGGAGGACAGGGAGGGAAAGGGAGGCCGCAGGCAGGGAGCAACACCGACACCGACACCACACCGACACTAGAGTGCGCTCACACGTACATATGGTACCTTCGTCGGATCCATTGTCACTTTGGGCACGAAGTTCAGGAAGATGTGGTTGCAGTCCGTTTTGGGCGCCAGAGAGTGCGTGAACGCCACCTCCAGTTCGTCCATCGCTTCGAGTAGAAGACGTTCGCCTGAAGAGAGGGAGAGTCAGAGAGAGGGGAACGGCAGGAAAGACACAAACCCTCATTCTGCAGGAACTCATAGGAGGCCTCTTTGGTGATGAGATCCGAGTGTCTGATGATAGTTCGCACGAAGAAGCGGAAGTCAGTGACCTGTTGTCCGGGAGCCATCACTTTGGCCTTTCCTAAGTAGAGATGCATTTTCTGACTCGCCGTCGGAATGGCCTCCAAGTCGTAGTTCCGGAGCCGATTGATCTCGAGTTGGAAGGCGAGCGCCGGCTCCAGGTGTCGGTAAATGGTGTCCTCGACGTAACCGCTGCGGAAGCGAAACGTGAAGTAACGTGGGAACCGGTATTTGTCGCACACAATGAACGTCACTCTGCGGATGGACTGCTTCTCGAGGTCGGCTCTTCGCGTCTGACAGAACTGCTGGAAACGTTTGGTGAGCACAGCGTCTTCAGAGCCGTCCGATTTGATGGCAATGTTGACGATATAGATGGGCTCCACGTCTTCGATGAGCGCTTGGAAAGAGAGGGATTGCGTCCTTTCTCGCGGCACCAAAAGAGATCCGCTTCGCTGGCGATTCGGCGGAGAAGTGGAGACATCGCCGCCGACGGACTGTTGCCACTGATTGTCGACTGCGATCTCTTCTTCCGATTGACGCAAAATGTCTATCAATTCGTCGAAATGGGTCTAAAGGAGAGAATTGTGAGTAATTGGCGGACAGAGAGAGAGAGAGAGAGAGAGAGAGACCTCCATTTGTTCGGCGGTATTGAAGGCGGCGATGAGTCCGACGCGATAATTGCCGAAAAACACGATTTGGTTCTCTTCTGACGTCTCGGACATGACGGCGATGGACGGCGTCTGCGCAGAAGAGGCCGACGCCGTGCTGGTGTTGGCGACGATCGACGGGTGCGACGACGGGAGGATGAAGTGGTAAACGGCGCACGGAATGGAGGCGTCGCGGGAGGCGGTGGACGACCGCGAGTGCAGACTCTCGACGGAGTGGCGTTCGGCGGAAGAGCCGAGCACTGAGTGCTGCAGAGACACCATTTCGTAGGAGATGTAGGCGCGCCGCACGTACACCTCGAGTGCGGCTCTGCGGACGACGACATTGGAGTGATAGAAGAACTGGTGGAGAACGTCGAAGATGGAGGTCTCGGAGAGGATCAGTTTGTTGAGGACATTGGGCTCGAATTCGTGCGAATAGATGTCAATCGCGGACAAGAAGATGGACTCCATTTGGTTGTGTCTTAAGGCGAAGGGCGGCTGATGGGCGGAAATGAGGACCTGTCGGGCCCTGAGCGCCACCTTCGCGTTCTCCGCTTTGTTCAGAATCGTGAGAGCGTTCAAAATGGACGACAACTCGTCTGTGATTCCAGGCTCGTGTCCGCACAAGTGGTCGATGAGCTGTGGGGAGAGGGAGGGTAAGCACGAGATAATAGGTGGTACGTCTCGCACTGACCTTGATGATGAGCTGATTCTTTTTGGTGACCGACAGGTGAGAGAAGATCTTCGAGACGACGCACGCCATTCCCTCCTCCTTGAACTTCTCGCGCAACTGCGACACACACTTGTCGTAGTGTCCGCTCTGGAAGTGCTGTTCGACTTCGATGTAGTGGCGGACGAGCTCCTGGACGCACGAACGCATTCTTCCGCGGATTCCGTTGCGATATCTCTGAACCAATTGAACGATTCCTTGAGTGTTGAGGAAAAAGACGTCGCGATCCGCGCGCTTCTGCAGAGTCGCCGCATAGGAGTCGATGACTGCCGCGATTTGCTGCGACGGAAAGGCCGCCAAAATGGCCGTAATATTGCCTGAGAGGGAACGGGAGTTAACGCAGACGTTCAACAGATAGACTTTCTTAGACACC